GAACATGCATCCAGTTTGTAAGCTGCCTGCTCAAGAGCTGCTCCTTGCTCTTCAATTAAAGTGATCTGATCCAGATAAGGCTGAAGTGCTGCATAAGTCTTTTAGGTTTCTACTTATGTTTACTGCAACATCTTTCATGTCTAGATTTTAAGCTAGTCAGTTTGTTTATATTTTCCAGAAGTTTATAGTTTTCACTGGTGACTGTCAGCTCACCTGTCAGGTATGTGACCATGTTGGAGAACATGTTTTGGCACAGCCCGGGCTCCATGGCCTCCTTGGCCATCTCCACCATGGCATCGTCTAGGCTGGGGAAGGGAAGAAGGAGAAAGCATAGAGGGAAGGATGGGGATGGGGAAGTGGGGGAGGGAGGAGAGGAGAGAAAAAGGGAAGGGTGAAGAGTCAGGGGGAGGTAAGGGGAGGGGGTGAGGAGACAATTTTTCATTTCGATTATATTTGTATCCCCAGCACTTAGCACAGATCCCGATAAGCACTTATTGCCTGCTTGATTGCCTTTGGGAACATAGTAACAACGTTGACTGTTGTACTTGACCATAGTTTTGTTGATGTTCAATGGTGACTTTATTTACATTGCTGTGTATTGTACATTGTGTATGATTTTGAATAAGAAATGCTTTGTTATTGTTTGTTATTCTTTTGCGTATTTCTTCTTCACCAAAAATCATTTCTATAAGTTTTCCTGTATTTCTCTTAATTCTTTATATGAATCACTCCCTGCAGTTCTGTTGCATTTATTATACACAGTTTCTTCAGTCATTCCCTAGTCATTGGGCACAATGATTTTGTTTCCTGGTTGTGTTTTTCTCCTCTCCTCTCCTGCAAATAATGCATCTATGAATATTTTTGCTTACATGGGTCTTTTGACTTATTTTTTGGTTAGAAGTAACATTAAATTATAGCCTCAGATTAATTTAACAAGTAGTTATTGAGTAATTACTGTGTTCTAGGCTCTATGCTCAGGTACTCCAGGTACAAAAATAAATTAAAAAAAAAAAGACAAATGAACTTACATTGTATGGGAGGGTGATCGGGGTGGGGCCAAGCTGAGTATTGACATGTACACAGATAAATAAATACAATTTATATATATCAAGTCATGTCATGTGTTAGGTCCTGGGAATATGAAGAAGATGAAAACACTTGGTTTTCAAGGAACTCACAGTCTAATGGACAAGATAACATATAAACGACTGTGTACAAACAAGATGTATATAAGTTGGAGATAATCTTGGAAAGTACTAGCATTAAGGGTGATTTAAAAAAAACAAAAGAAACCCTATTATGGAAGGGTTTTAGCTGGGACCTAAAGGAAGCCAGGAGGCAGAGATTAGGAGGGAGAGAATTCTTGGCTTGGAGGACAACCAATAAAAATGTCTAGTATAGGGAGATATTAATGTCTTATATGAATAACATCAAGGAGGTGGGAAATTGGAAGCGAGGAAGGTGTAAGAAACCTGGAAAGGGGGGAAGGACTTTAAAATCCGAACAGAGGAGTTTATATTTGATCCCATATATAATAGAAGTCACTGGAGCTGATCGAATGGAGGTGAGTATCATAGACTTTTGCTTCAGGGAGATCAGTGTGATAGCTATTTGGAAGATAGCACTTTACCCTCTTCTAATAGATCTGGACAGTTTTATTTGTGATTTAATAAAGTGTAATGTTCAGCCTTTTTTTAAAAAAATACAGTTTTCAGGGACTCTAATGATTTTCAGATGATCTTTCCTTGACCTGTTTTATAGGTCAGTTTTTGTTTTTGTTTTTGTTTTTGTTTCTGTTTTGTATGTAAGTTTTCCTACATTTTCTTACATTTTTCAGGCTTTTGGTTCTATTCTAATATTTCATGTCATCTCATGGCGTCACTTATTTCTATTTTATTATTATTTCCATGGAGTACATTGTTTGACTAAAATTTACCAATTTCTGTTCTAAGCTATTTATTTTCATCATTCTTTCCTTCAGAACACTTTCTTTTATTTTTAAATTTTCTTATTTCATTTTTAGATATTTATAATCTTTGCAGAAAAAACATATTTTTTTCCCTTTGAGTCTGTGCTGGCAGTTATATAGAGTCCTTGTCTCCTACCCTAAATTTTTTAGCATCTCCGTATCTGTTATAGTTTTTCATAGTGGTTTCTATCTTCCTTTCTGCCTATATATCTCACCAGTCTTAGATCTTGAATTGGAGCTTGGTGCTAGGGCCAGGCTTCCCCCCTGCTGAACTTTTGGGTGGAATGATCAGCCCTACTTGATCTTGACCTCAGTCACTAGGATTCCTGTGTCTTTGAGCTTCAGAGCAATGAATCTCTAGGGCTCTCTCTGGCATTTTAGGATAGAGTACTAAACTGTTGGTGGAGTTGTGAATTGATCCAGCTATCCTGAAGAGCAGTATAAAACTCTGCATACCCTTGGATTCAGCAATACCACTCCTAGGTCTGTATCCCAAAGAGATTTTTTAGAAAGGGAAAAGAATCTATTTGTACAAAAATATTTATAGCAGCTTTATTTTTTTTGTGGTAGCAAAGAATTGGAAATTGAGGGGATACCCATCAATTGGGGAATGGACGAACAAGTTGAGGTATATTATTTTGATGGAATACTATAGTGGGATGCTTTCAGAAAAACCTGGAAAGACTAACATGAACTAATGCAAAATAAAATGAGCAGAACCAAGAGAACATTGTACACAGTAACAGCAATATTGTATGATGATCAACTGTGAATGACTTAGCTATTCTCAGCAATGCAATGATTCGAGACAGTTCTGAAGGACTTATGATGAAAAAATATGCTGTCTACCTCCAGAGAAAGAACTGATGGGTCTGAATACAGATTGAAGCCTACATTTTTCTACCTTCTTTAGTTTTCTTGTGTTTTTTTTAGAGGGGATGGTGGTGGTCATGGTCTGTGTTTTCTTTTACAACATGGCTAATATGGAAATATGTTTTGCATGATTACACATGTGTAACTTATAACAGATTGCTTGCCTTCTCAGTGAAGGGGAAGGATGAGAATTTGAAACTCAAAATTTTAAAAACATGTTGAAAATTGTTTTTTACATGTTATTGGAAACAAATTATTAAAAAAAAAAAGATAGAGTACTAAAGATGTGGGCCTGGGATGTCCCATTCTGAGAACTACTACTCCCAGTGGCTTCCAAAGTCCTCTTGGGTTTCTGGGTTTCTGACCACTCTGGGGATTTCTCAGGGGAGCCCACTGTTCTTACTGCCTCTGAGTGTAGAGCCCTGTCTGAGAGGTCTCTGCTTGTGCTGTGATGCTTTTGTCCTGTTTGCCTAAGTGCAGATGCTGACTTTGTTGGTGCTTCCCTTTCCTGTTGTCTCTGGGCTTCTGGCTGACTTTTGGGAAGTTCTGAAGTAGATAAAGTCATTTCCTGTAGTTTTCCATTAGATTTCTTAATCATTCTGTTTTCATTGTTATTTTACTTTGGTTTGTGCATTTCTTAGTGTTTTGAAGTGATTGAGGGAGGAACTGGGCTTAGACGCAATCTCTCATTCACTTATACTGCTTGCCACCTTAATTCTCTTTATGTGCTATATCTTACTTAACGCTTACAACGGCCCTGGAAAGTAGATATATTAAAGTATTATTATTTTTCTAATTTTACCGTTGGATAAACTGAAACTTAGGATGTTAAATGGCATGTCCAGGGTCATATAGGTAAGAAATGTCAGGGCTGGAACTCAAATCTATCTTTTGACATCAAATTTAAGGCTCTTTTCACTATACTGTTTTTCTTCTTTAATCTTCCAGAATTCATTGTTAAAAAATTTATATTTTAGAATATTAAATATCCTTAAGTAAAGGGACATCTGTACACTTAAGTTGGCCTTTTTTTTTTTGAGCGGGGTGATGAGGACTGGAGTACATTCATAATAAAGCACATAAAATAATGAACAGAGGGCCTGTGAATTAACTTTTCCTAAATAAGTAATAAATTACATGAGTACTTTTAATCCTATCTTTATGGAATAATATTATTTCGTAATCCTTGAAGTTGCTGCTGCGTAACTTCTTTAACTTCCATTTTTAGAAATAATCGCCATTGCAGTTGAAACTAAGGAGTGAGCCAGACATACGGCCAAATGTGGCTATGCTGTTATCCTGTATTATAAATCAGTAACCCTGTGAGGGACTGTCTATGTTGGCAGCTACCAGGTTGGGCGCTGTGGCAAGAGTAGGGTAAGATCTGGGTGTTTTGGAAGTCGAGGCAGGGGCTGTGGTAGGCGGAGTCATGGTGAACTGGGATGGGCTGGGTACGGAGAAGCCCTGAGGCAGTGGGCAGTGCTATGTGAGATAAGCTGGGTGCAAGGAAGTAGCCAGAGCTTGTGCTCCTGAGGCAAGGGGCGGTGCCACGTGGGAGTGGGACGGCAGAGGACTGAGTTCCCTTTGCTTAGTCCCCTCCCTATATGCAACGTCAACCCCAGACGCCTCCTTCCTGTGACCTTCCTGACTGGGTCCCTTTGTGTAGCACTGACCCCAGACGCCTCCTTCCTGACTTCCTAGGTCACGTACTCTGTCTATGCACTAATCCCAGACACCTCCTTCCTGTATCCGGTCCTAGCCTCCTACGTCACTCCCTCCCCCTTGGTGTGCTAAACTCAGACAGCCCCTTCCGGTATCTGACCCTACAATCATTGGCTAGTAAGCGGGCTGGGGAGGAGGGGCTAGGTAGGTATTTAGGAACGAGAGTGGTCAGATCACGCGCTCGCTCTCTTGGCTCCTGCTCTGTTGCTCTGGCCTTCCTGCTTGGCCTTGCTGTGATGGCCCCTGAATAAAGCTCTGGTGTTGGCGCCTCCCGATGTCTCGTCTCTGTGTGTTTATGCGGCTGAGGACCGAAGACTTGTGAGTGAGTATGACTCTGGCAGCCTGCTCCTTATAGAAGGAGAGGGTACGGTGTGGCCGGCACAAGGTCGGCGCGGCCGGTACATAACCCTTTATTAATACTTGAAATATCTTTTAGGAAGAAAGAGCTGATGGCGTTGCGCAGAGGATGGATGTTGTTTCCATTACCTTTCTGCAGTTTTGTTTGTATTTTTCTGAAGACTTTGAGAAGTAGCAGTTATGCCTCTTTTCCTCGGAGATACTCTCTCTACCAAACTTCCAGAAACATCTTGGGCCCAGAAGTACAAACCTTCCTGGAGGAGAACACTGAAGTGACCAACAGTGGAAACCTTACCCCAGAGATCCAGCTGCGGCTTTTGACACCTCGATGTAGATTCTGGTGGGAAAGAGCTGACTTATGGCCCTACAGTGATCCCTACTGGGCAATCTACTGGCCAGGAGGCCAGGCTCTAAGCAGGTACTTAACTGGAGAGAAGTTGGCACAAGGTCTCATAGGACCCTATAAATCTGCTACACAGAGACGGTAATTGTCAGTGGTTTCCCATTGAATTTAAGTTCATATTTCTTAACCAACCTTTTCAACTTAGGCAAGTCATTTCACCTCTCCCACTGCAGTAAGGGAGGACTAGCACCTCTGGTGTGAGGGCTTTCCAAGCCCTTTTCAGGGCTGTTCATCCAGCTTTGGTGTCCACCTGTCACCCACCTTTCACCTGTGGCTCCAAGAAGTTGTAGCATGTTGTAGTGACCACAGCCCAGTAAAACTGTTTCAGCAGATAGGCTAAACCAGGTTGAGAGTAACTGACAGGCCTTTCACCTGTCAGTGAGTTGGGGGAGGTCTATCCCAAACATGTGAAGACTTCCCCAAGCATAATGGGTAGATGAGAACAATTTGTTCCAGCAGCCATGAAGGCAGATGAAGCAGGCACTGTGGAGTGCTTAGAGCTTGGGGCATCAAAGACGCTAAGGTAATCCACTACATCCCAGGCCATCACCAGTCATCTTGACTTTTGTCTTGCCACTGGACTTTGATGACTCTGGAAGAGAGAATGAGGCTAATGCCTTTGTGCAACTCTGCCTCACTTAAATTCAATTTACACACTAGTCAAGACATACACTGTGATGTTATTGGTCCTCTTCAAAAATGAAGGACAAACAGTATTAGCAAAGAGTTGGCCATGAGGTTCTTTTTTTTTTTTTGTAAATTTTTTTATTTTAAATTTAAATACAAAATAAGAAAAGAAAAAAGAAACAAACTTAAATACTAAAAATAAAATAATACAAAGTAAGAAAAGAAAAAAAAAATTGCCATGTGCGCAGCAGAACATGAGAGAGGATTCAAAATACATGGCAATAAATTTCCATTTCAAGAAAGCCTATATAAGAAATACTATGAATGCTGTTGAGAGCTGTTCATCTTTTCTTTGCTTCCTTGTAAGTTTTCTTTTGTTCTCTGCTGTGCACTTTTTACTTTGTTCTTTTTTCTCCCTTCCTCCTTTCCTCCCCCAGAAGGCTACAATTAAGCATGGACATACATATATGTGTGTGTATACATACACACATATATACATATGTACAAATACACATATATAGACATACACACAAAGATAGTCATATGTACATATATACACATATACCTGTACATACATATACTTATGCATACTTAGATATCAATAATCATAGTCATATATAGATATATACTTTCATATGCATCTATGTAAGACCATACTATACTTATTTATCCTCTGTTTCTTTGAGGGTAGATAACCTCTTCCTTCATAAGTCCAAGTCTTTTCCATATTTTCCAAGTCCATCAACTTGTAATTTCTTACACCACAGCAATATTCCTACCTTAAACTTTCTAGTTGAGTTGTTTTAAACAACATTAATAAATATAGTGGACACGTAATGTAGTTTTCTTATTTTTTCTTTTGATTAAATCTGTTTTAGCCTTAACTTTGTCTGAGATCATGATTACCACCCCTGCTCCCTCTTCCCGAACAAATTCTATTCCCTATCTTTATTTTAAGTTTGTGCCTATCTCTTATTTCTTATCCCTCCTGACTCCTCTACTTTACTTCTACCTTTCCCTGCCATTACTTAACATACCTAGCCCTACCCCCTAGCCCTCAGGATCTTTCAGGTGGTGATTCATGGATTTTTTTTCTATTTCCACTTTCCCCTCTTGTTCTAATGCTTCAGGACAGTTTTCTTTAATTATTTCTTGTATTATTGTCTCAATATTCTTTTTTTGATCATAGCTTTCAGGTAGTCTGATTATTCTTATGTTTTCTTGATCTGTTCTCCATATCAGTTGTTTAATATTCTTTCTTTGATCATAACTTTCAGGTAGTCTGATTATTCTTGTGTTTTCTCTTCGTGATCTGTTCTCCAGATCAGTTGTTTTTCTGATGAGATGTTTCATATTCTCTTCTATTTGTCCATTCTTTATTTTTTATTATTTCTTGATCTCTTATAACTTTGCTGGCTTCCCCTTGCCCAATTCTGATTTACAAGGAGTTGTTTTCTTCCTTAAGATTCTGGATCTCCTTTTCTAATTGGTTGACTTTAATTTCTTAATCTTGTTTTTCTTGGATTGTTCTTACTTTGTTTTTTAAGTTTTTCCTCAGTCTCTCTCATTTGATTTTTAAAGTCTTTTTAAAGTTCTTCTGTGAATTCTTTTTGGGCAGGTGACCATTTGATATTATTCTTTGGGGTAGAAGAGGGTTTTTTTGTTTTAGTATCCTCTTCTGAAGATGAACTCCAGTCTTCTCTATTCCCATAGTAACTCTCTGTGGTTGGATTCTTTCTCCTTTGACTGTTCATTTTATTTTTTATTTGTAGCAGCTTATTTCTTGTAATCACTTCTAGTCCTGGGGCATGTGGGATGGTACCTCTGGCCTCAGATCCTCCTTCATTTCTCTCCTCTGGCCTGGAGCCAAAACCAAGACCTCCAGCCTCCTGCAGGTGCCCACAGCAAGCAGTATCTGTGCCCCACTGCTTCTACACTCACCAGGCATGTGCTGGTTCCTTTTGGCCCCAGGCCGCGTCTCCACAGCACAACTGAGTCTGACATTCCTTCTCTGAAGAGGTTCCCTTGGCTCAGATGCCCAACTCCCCTCATTGTCCCAGGGGTAAAAGTTCCTGTGGCTAGGGCTGAGGTAGCTTCCCAACCCAGCTAATCCCAGGTCTTGCTGCTTGTTGTTTATTTTACTATGTAATTTCTCCCCTAACATCAGTCAGAGTTTCATAGCAATCTAACCCACAATACTTGTTAATTGATACATCTTTCATTGTATACATTCACACATGATATCTTGCTTATGTACAGAATTGGTAGTTGTGAACAAAGACATGAGTAAGTCTTGGCTGGCTGACTGGACCTAGGTTTCTCTAGGTTAAGATGAAATTGATGGATTTTTCCTGTTTTTCCCAAAGAGAGGCTGCAGCTAAGAGAGGTATAGTGATCGCACTGCTGGCAAGTATTAGAGATGACTTCTGAACTTAGGTCATTTTAATTTTTGACTTTGTGTACTCAGTGCTTTTCCCAGTGTTAAGCACATAGCAGATGTTTAATAGATGCTTGTGGAATGGCGGGGGGGGGGGTCAGGGAAGAGAGGGAGAGAAATTGACTTGCTTTGATCCTTTTTGTATTGTATTTAAGTAGGAATTCCGTCTCCCTTTCAAACCATTCAAATATCCAAATCCCTCTTCCAGAATGTAAACCTACTATAACGTTAATTGTCAGCCACAAGTACCATATTTCACCACATAATTGATAAATGTTTTGCAAAAAAGTGGGATGTGACCATTATATGAAACTTTTCTTTCTTTTTTAAAAAATTGTGACATTATTACTTAAAAATCATTTATTTATTTTTCTTAATTTTTTTCTTTTTATTTTTTTTATAAATTTATTTATTTTTAGTTTTCAACATTCACTTCCACAACATTTTGAGTTCCAAATTTTCACCCCCTCTTGCCTCTCTCCCCACCCCAAGATGGCATACATTCTGAATACCCCTTCCTCTAGTCTGCCCTCCCTTCTATCTCTCCTCCCCTTCTCTTATCCCCTTCTCCTTCTATTTCCTGTAGGTCAGGATAGATTTCTGTACCCCATTTCCTGTATTTCTTATTTCCCAGTTGCAAGTGAAAACATTTTTTTTAAAACATGTGTTTTTAAAACTGGGTTCCAAATTTTCTCCCTTCCTCCCTCCCCACCCACCCTCATTGAAAAGGCAAGCAACTCAATACAGGTTATACACGTGCAGTTATGCAAAACACAGTCATGTTGTGAAAAACTAACCCTATTTGCCTTAATCCTATCCCGCCCTACATTTATTCTATTCTTTCTTTTGACCCTGTCCCACCTCAGAAGTGTCTGCTTCTGATTACCCCCTCTCCCAATCTGCCCTCCCCTCTATCATCTCTCTGCTCTCTTGTCCCCTTCCCTGCCTACTTTCCTGTAGAGTAAAATAGATTTCCATACTCAATTGAGTGTGTATGTTATTCCCTCCTTAAACCAAATATGATGAAAATAAGATTCACTCATTCCCTCTCACCTTCCCCCATTTCCCCTCCACTGTAAGAGCCTTTTCTTTTCTGTTTTTTTGTGAGATAATTTACCCCAATCTGCCTCTCCCTTTCTCCTCAGTATAATCCTCTCTCACCCCTTAATTTTATCCTCCAGATATCACCCCTTCATCTTCAACTCATCCTGTGCCCTCTATCTATCTATCTATATATCTGTATTTATATCTACATATATATATTTACATACATATAATTTTTTTCCCCTCCCACTACCCGAATACTGACAAAGGACTCATGAGTTACAAATACCATCTTTCCATGCACAATGTAAACAGTTCAACCTTAATAAATCTCTTACGATTTCTCTTTCCCTCTTCATATTCCACTTGAGTCTTGTATTTAAAAGTAAAATTTTCTATTCAGCTCTGGTCTTTTCATCAAGAATGTTTGAAAGTCCTCTATTTCACTTCACTGAAGGATTATACTCAGTTTTGCTGGGTAGGTGATTCTTGGTTGTAATCCTATCTCCTTTGCCCTCTGGAATATTATATTCCATGCCCTGCGGCCCCTTACTGTAGAAGCTGCTAAATCTTGTGTTATCCTGATTGTGTTTCCACAATATTTGAATTGTTTCTTTCTGGCTGCTTGCAATATTTTCTCCTTGACCTGGGAACTCTGGAATTTGGCTACAATATTCCTAGGAGTTTTCCTTTGGAGAGCTCTTTCAGGAGGAGATAAGTGGATTCTTTCCATTTCTATTTTGTCCTCTGGTTCTAAAATATCAGGGCAGTTTTCCTTGATAATTTCTTGACAGATGATGTCTAGGCTCTTTTTTTGATCTTGGCTTTCAGATAGTTCAATAATTTTAAAATTCTCTCTCCTGGATCTATTTTCCAGGTCAGTTGTTTTTCCAATGAGATATTTCAC